AGAGAGAGAGAGAGAGAGAGAGAGAGGGAGGGAGGATGGGAGGGAAGTGTCGCCGGTCTTGGGGAAAAGTGTAACGGCCGCTCTTATTTTCGAGTGATGTTGTAGATAGACACATGTCCATTTTGGCAACAATAACTTTAAAGAGTCAGTGCCCAGTGAAGAAGTCTTAATCAAATCCCGAATTGATGGTATACTACATTTGAGTTTGAGGGAGGTCACAGTTTCCTTCACGGACGAGTAAAAGCGATCTTTTTGGCCCAATATGATCAACTCCTCCAAAAATAATGTATCCTGCTGTTCAGATGTACTTCGCCCAAAATTATGTCATTTTTCTAAAATCTGTGTTTCTTAACCCCTCTGCCATTTTAAAATACATGTACACAGAAAACAATTTAAAAAACAAAAAACAAAAACCAAGCAAAAAAATGTCATGAAATATTGGTCAAAATTCAAATTTTAAAGATTGAAAAAGGCAAGGAAAAAATTGTAGGAACAATTTGAATAAAAGAATTTTAACAAGGCTTCCTCTCCACTGAACATTTTGCTTTCTGGTCTTAGGACATTTGAACACTTTGCCGACGACAGGCATGTTTGGTTCTGTCGTCTTCGTAAGAGTTTTTCGGCACTTGCAAAACAATAAGGTCAAATAAGTGCCGAAGAACAGATGCGTTACAAGAAAGTAAAATACACAAAAAAGGAGGGGAGAAAAGGACGAAAGACGTTTGGTAGGAAAGAAGGAGCAAACTACACCAGAGCACCCACCAACTGCCCACATTTGATTCTCTGTGTTTGTTTATTGATTTGAGCAAAGGGATGCATATCGCCACAATAATCGTCATTAGTGCTCGGAACAAATAAGACGGGCAGACAGAAACAACAGAGGAAAAGAAAAGAAGGAGGACATTCCAGTGCCGCGACCCGGAGCATTTGCTGTAAATCGTTGCCATCAGTTTCAATACCATAACAGTGTGGGGTCAGATCTTTTGATTGCACGCGAAAAGCCATAAAAGCCCGTATGGACCTGTGTCAAATTTGATGCAGTAAAGAAGAGATCTATTTGATACAAGGTGGACTGGTCAGCGTTATTTCCCGACCTGAACCGATCTGATCATGTCAATCGGATCCATTCGACCGATGGAAGTCCCTTCGTGGCCATGATCTGGTGCATTTGATGAAAATCGCATCCAATCACCAATACAAAGGTCACTGCGTATCGCATGACACTGCAGGACCGAATTTTTCGTTAACGAGCTGAATGCAATAATGGAATTTTGTGTCAAATATAATAAAAACAAAGCAGGGTCTATGTGATGTGATAACGGGTGCATTAGCCAGCGCCGTGTTTCGATCCGAATCGATCCGATCAATCATTTGACCAATGTGCATTCGTTCTTAAGACGACGCACATCCTCCGTCACATTTTCTGTGTCGACGCCTGTTTCATCGTACCAGATTCGATTTCTATTGAGAAAGTGTCTTTACGTTTATTTACGAGTTGCCCTAGCTCAGTTTTCATGACAAAGACACGTTTCGTAATCAGAAAATATGAAGGAGGTCTGTCTGCACCCCCCCCCCCCCCCACACCCTAAATAAAAAATCGAATGAAAGAAAGAAAGAAAAATAAACGAAAAAAGACAATAACAACGTAGAAACAAATATAAGAAACTGATTATAAAATAATAATAATAATAATAATAATAATAATAATAATAATAATAATAATAATAATAATAATAATAATAATAAAGGAAATTAATACAAAACAGCCGTTACATCCGACTCTTCAAAGAACTTACTTCTCATTAAGCTAAGAGAACCACAATAAAAACCGTTTTACGGGCCCATCAACACAATTTGCACCATCAACGAGGTGGGTCGCTCTGACCTTCTACCTACCAGAACCAACAGTGCTGACTGGAAGACAGAATCTCAACTAAAAGAGAGAGATATTCGATAAAATAGCCCTCTCAGATGAGAATAAAATCAATGTCTTTCATTTGGAACGAGGGAGGGTTTCCCCCATTATTACACCATAGCCGCCGGTCAGAAAGACATTATATTATTATTATTATACAGACTGCGCGGATACCTAGTATTATATGTCAATATTACCATAATGGCGACAGAGACCACACGTCATAACAATTCCAAGCTAATTCTCGTAACATATTCTGGCCAATAACTGCTGCTCTTAAACCAGTCTGATTTTCTGCCCGCCGACCCAATCTCGAAGGTTCGATAACTGGGACAGCTGTCTACCCTGTATAAAATGACATTAACCGAAGTTTGCGTATGCAAATTCAATTGATTACCTTTCGGTGCAGTGAGGTTATGGCGGGTGACAGTCGTCGTTTCCTTCCGATGTCTCAGCACCCCTCCTTCTTTTTGTGTCATGCTGTGTCAGCCTACATTATCATTAATCATCATGATTCGTGACTTTCACCCTGATTTAAGATTACATCGGCCGTTAAGATGAGCTCCACCTGTCTCTGTTCTGGATCATCTCTCCACCAACAGCCAGATATGTGTGTCCCATGTGCCTGGATATCTCCAACAAGATCTTGCTCCCAGATAGATCTCGGCCTTCCTCTCTTTCTCTTCCCCTCGGGGTTCCATCTCAGTCTTCGTCCTGTCACGTTGTTGGCTGGATTCCTGAGTGTGTGTCCAACCCATCCCCCATTCAAAAAAAATCTGGCTGACAATAATTTATTGATGTTTGGTTCGCTTCCATAGCACTTAATTTTTTTATGGTGTCGGCCAGTGGATTTTCATAATCTTCCTCAGACAACAATATTATTGACGAAGGGCTGTGATTTGTTAACGATTTGCTTTGACAATTTCCATATTTTCGATCCCTACAGTAACAAACTTCTTTTTTACAGTCATACTGAAAATCCTAATCAGCGTGCTTGTCTTGACGCTTCCCGATTTCCAATAAAAGATTGTAACTATTGAAATGCCCCCCCCCCCCCACTTTTGCTTTTCCAATCTTGGTTATGACATCCGAAACTGCTTCTCGCCTAAACCACGTGACTTATAATATCATTATAAGCGACTGCTCGATTGTTCACTTCGGGTGGTGTAGTTTGTATGTTTGTCATTAAAAAAAAAATTCAACCACACTTATACATGTTTTCTCTCGTCTTTATCCTGGTTTTGACCGTTTTCGCGCCAGTAACAGAAGCAATATAATAACCCCCCCCCCCCCCAAAAAAAATTAATTAATTAAATTTAAAAAAAAATACAGTTTAACAGTATAACAAAGAAAAATAAAACCATCTCTTCCTTCTAACAAAAGGATTAACAATTGCCAAAAATCGAGAGCAGAAAAACAAATGAAAAACAATAATCAAAACAAAAATAGATAATGGAGCTCTGAAAACAAAACGCAGCACCTGAAACCGTAAGAGGCATAGGAAACGTATCAATTTCACACACAAACAGAGAAACGTTAATCTAAAAAAAAATCGATTGAAAAAATAACCAAAACGATCTCAAACACACCCGCGAACGACAACACTCTCACACGAGAAAAAGAGGGGAACACTGGAAATACCCAACGACATACTCACACTGAACAGGAGAGGGGAACAAAACACTCAAAATTTTAAAAAATATATATCCGAAACAAGAGCATTGAAAAGCAAAGCAAAACAAAACACATACACACACAAACACACACACACACACACACACACACACACACACACACACACCCACAAAACTCAAAACACATTTCACCAGCACCAACACACTCACACTGAACAACTCACTGACCTTCATGGGAATCCCAGTGACGGTGGTGGAGGTGAGATCAAAGTGCCGACAGCACAGAGCCACCAATGTGTTGTACAAGTGGCGGCCGGACAGCGTCACCACCACCTCGGAGCTCAGTACAGAGTTCAGCTGAGGACAGATTAGTAAATCAATTAATAGTGTTAGTAAATAGTACTAGGGTACTTGCAATACAGATAGGTCGTATAGGTGCCGGAGATTAGAGTTGTTGTTGTTGTTGTTGTTGTTTGTTCTTGTTCTTCTTCTTCTTCTTCTTGTTCTCCTTCTTCTTGTTCTCCTTCCTCCTCCTCCTCCTCCTCCTCCTCCTCCTCCTCCTCCTCCTCTTCCTCCTCCTCCTCCTCCTCCTCCTCTTCTTCTTCTTCTTCTTCTTCTTCTTCTTCTTCTTCTTCTTCTTCTTCTTCTTCTTCTTCTTCTTCTTCTTCTTCTTCTTCTTCTTCTTCTTGTGTCAGGTCAGGATCAAACACTAACGATCATGGTATCCCACTCCTTCCCGTTGTCCGTCTATCTAAATTCAAATCAACTCGGTTTCTCGCATTGTGTTGTTTGTCGCAAAGTTGTTCGGGCCATATGTGTATGTTGGGACTCGAAAGCTAAACACAAATACAAGAAAGGGAAGATATATTAGGACAACAAATTATGTATGATAGGGAAGAAGGAGCATCAGATCGCTGGCCAACCACCCACGAGCGCTTATTGATTGTGTGCAAAAGAATTCATGATTGTTACATGTACGTGTAAAGCTTTACAACCCCAACGACACATTTACATGTATTTCACATGAGGAGGCACACTTTGAACCCGCATGCCAGAGCCAATCCGGGCTGAGTGGGATACATAATCCAAGCCGACAGAAGTGAATACTCTTTGTCATGGCGTGGTGGAATCAGGCGCTCGTCAATTTTTAGGCGTATGGGGTTATTGGCATCATCTTAAAGCCTGTTCATTTGCCCTCCTTTGAGTGTAAAAAATACCCACCTATGTAGAATAGTAGTCGAAATATTTACGGTTGAAAGAGATCAAGGTCGCCTGGTTTCAGAGATAAAATTAGCGAGAAAGTGCCGCCAAAGTTAGGTAACTACCATAGTCTGAGAGTCATTGGAAACTTAGAATTTACATTTGTTGTGCCTTTGATCAATATTTTTCAGTGAAGTCCACGCAAAAATGTGTTTTTAAATTAACTTAAAATACGTGAGCCTCCCTACCCAATTTTTTTTTAAAATAGAGAGAAATTGCCCTCGGTCAAGAAAATACCGATTTCTTTGATTTCATTATTTTGACAAGCGCCTGAACTCACCAAGATGCCTCACAATGATAACTTTCCAACTCGGTAACCGAACTCCCACCTTCTGCGTTTGTGTTAAAATGGTGGTGGGCTGCTTCCAACTTGATTGTGTGTCGGTGAAATTTCTCTTGGAAAAGTGAGTTCGTTTACAGGGGAAACCTAGACATACAGACAGACAGACAGACAGACAGACAGACAGACAGACAGACAGACAGACAGACAGACAGACAGACAGACAGACAGACAGACAGACGGACAGACAGAAATTAATAATAAAGAGCACACTCACCTCAGACCGACCGATAGACAGACAGGCAGATAGACACGCAGACAGACAGACGGACAGAACGACAGACAAATACACACACAGACAGAACTCATAATATAGTCCCTTATCATAAACAGACAGACCGACAGACAGAAAGACAAACAGAAGAACAGACAGACAGACAGACACACACACACACACACACACACACATACACACTCATACAGAGCACACTCACCTCGACTTGTGCCCGGTTGAGAAGGGTGAGCTCCACGTCCACGGGCACACTGTGGACGATCACCAGCTCACAGCAGTCGATGGGGAGACTGAGGGTGAACAACGACGTGAACTTTACAGGAGGTCTCAGTATTGTGTAACAACGTGGTGGAATCAGGTGCTCGTCAATGATTGGGCATATGGGGTTATCGGTTTCGTTTTAAAGCCTATTCATTTGCCATCCTTTTGGTGAAAAACAAGTCTATGTTGAATAGAAGTCGAAACATTTGCGATTGAAGAAGGTCAGGATCGCCTGGTTCCAGAGGTAAAATTAGCGAGAAAATGGCGTGAAATTTAGGAAAATTTCATTGCCTGAGAGTCCTTGGAAACTAAAAATTAATTTTTTTTTGTCCCTTTAATCAGGATTTTCAGTAAAATCCACACAGAAATGTATTTTTCAACAGACATAAAAAGGTGTTGAGCGAAAAGAAGTAATTAAAAAATTGCCCATCTGCCCAAAAGCTGATTTCTTTGATTTCGTTATTTTGACGAGTGCCTGATTTCACCACGGTGTCAGAATATCCAACGTGTATTAGTTAGTTTTAGTAAGGTTTTACGGCGCTCGCAACTTCATATGAGCGCCAAGGGGTGGATGTCAGCAGAGAAGTCCAAACGGGGAATCAGGCTTACTCTGCTCACCTCTTAGACCTCAACAGCATAAAGCCTGCTTCGACTATCAAGGCACCCCGGAAATAGCAGTTCACAAGAGAGTGACAAACATACAATAGAAGTAGAGGGAAAATGACGATAGTAGTAAGGATGGCGAAAATAAAAAGCAGCAGTTACCCCAATAATGTTCTGGCACAGTACGAGCATGACATTGATAAATCAGCCCATTTACAATTCTACTGAACATAAGAACATGTTAATATCCGCCCCCCCCCCCCTTTTGGGAATGGCCTAAAGACAATATCAGTCAGTAGCACTGCTCTGGGGGACTGCAACATGTATAATACACATACAAAATGCAAATCTTTCTTAAACGTGGGAGTTTGCGCTCCAATCAAAACAGTAATGTAGATGATTTAGGAGGTGGGCTTCGACACTGCCTGTCACGACTGATCAGGACTGAGAGGGATACAACGTCAAAGCAGAAAGAAGGAGAAAACATTCCCCCGATGGGGAAAACGACAAAGCGCAAAAATCACAACACCGAAGACGCCCGTACATAGTGTATAGACCTCATATTATGTTGCTATTATTTTGTTACACGTTGCTCAGTCATAAATAAACATGTTGTTATCGGTGAATGGGAAATACTTTTTTCGACAAATAGCTGTTTTTCCAGTCGTAGCTGACTAATACTGTTAATGAATAATATAATTATAATTTTAAAAAACCATAATCATTTCTTAATATTGTTGATGTCGTTGCTGAGGCTGTGTCTTTGTTGATCGTTTCGCTTATTATTTATTGTCCACGTTACTGCAACCGTTTGCTCCTTTTGCACATCTGCACAAGTTCATGTCACTTCGCATGGTAGAACAATTCCCTAAAGACACTACTGACGGATGGTCTTGTTTTTCAATTTACATAGCACGCCCTGCGATGGAATCGATAACACCGAGACAAATAGAGAGAAAGAGAGAGAGAGAGAGAGAGAGAGAGAGAGAGAGC